TGCTGGGGGGTGGTCGTGCTGGGGGGTGGTCGTGCTGGGGGGTGTGGTCGTGCTGGGGGGTGGTCGTGCTGGGGCGTGGTCGTGCTGGGGCGTGGTCGTGCTGGGGCGTGGTCGTGCTGGGGTGTGGTCGTGCTGTGGTGAGGTCGTGTTGGGGTGTGGTCGTGCTGGGGTGTGGTCTTGCTGGGGTAGGGTCGTGCTGGGGTCGGGTCGTGCTGGGGTGTGGTCGTGCTGGGGTATGGTCGTGCTGGGGTGGGGTCGTGCTGGGGTGGGGTCGTGCTGGGGTCTGGTCGTGCTGGGGTGTGGTCGTGCTGGGGTATGGTCGTGCTAGGGTGGGGTCGTGCATTTCGCTCGAGACATCCTGCCAAAATTCCAGGAAATCGTACAAAAACAAAGGAATTAGTCGAGACATCATCGAAATTCCTTCGCGCGGGGCGCTTTTCCGCGTCGCGGTCGGCTCTGCAAAACAAGCGTTTCGCTCGAGACATCCTCGGCAAACTCTGCGGAGCAAGCGTTTCGCTCGAGACATCCTCAACACACGAAAAAGTGGCCCGCACCCTGTGATTTATCGATCGGGATTTCAAAAACAAGCGTTTCGCTCGAGACATCCTCAAATTTTAATTCGCCGGCCTCCTTCGACCTCGTTATTTATCAGGGAAAAAATTCGCCGGCCTCCCTCAAGTTGGCACCGGGGGACAGGTTTACCAACTAAAAGAGAACCCTGGGCTCATGCCCTTTCCGGGAAAAAAGTGGCCCGCACCCTGTGATTTATCGATCGGGATTTCAAAAACAAGCGTTTCGCTCGAGACATCCTCAAATTTTAATTCGCCGGCCTCCTTCGACCTCGTTATTTATCAGGGAAAAAATTCGCCGGCCTCCCTCAAGTTGGCACCGGGGGACAGGTTTACCAACTAAAAGAGAACCCTGGGCCCGCGCCCTTTCCGGGAAAAACAAGCGTTTCGCTCGAGACATCCTCAAATTTTAATTCGCCGGCAATTCGCCGGCCTCCTTCAACCTCGTTATTTATCAGGGAAAAAATTCGCCGGCAATTCGCCGGCCTCCTTCAAGTTGGCACCGGGGGACAGGTTTACCTAGTAAAAGAGAACCCTGGGCCCACGCCCTTTCCGGGAAAAATCCTATGGTAGTACATTGTGTATCGTGTCTCCTTGAGGCTCTTCTCGGTGCCATCCTCGTTGACGTACGCGTACTTGAGTCGGACCCTGTTGTGGTCGATGTCGCCGCTGAGCTCCTGCCAGGTGCTGTGGAAGAGTGGATTACTTTTTCGTAGGATCTGTGATGGTTCTTCATCGTCGATGAAAGGCTGGTTGTCGGGCCTGTAATCGGCTTTCCTGTCGTAAGGTATTTCCACAGGCCGCTGTGACCAGTGGAGCTCGACGGCATGGTGGGTGCATAGGTACTTCCAACCATTGAGGGCTGAGGTGAGTCGATCGTGCGGTCGGTTGAAATCGTGTTTCTTGATGTCTGGCAAAGATACAATCGTGATGTGTGTGTGTGTGTCCCCTTTGGCTTTGGCCCGGCCCTTGCTGGAAGGTGCTGGTATGTATTCGCGGCCGAACCGGAACATCCTGCTCCTCCTCCTCCCCCTCCCCGGCCTCCTCCTCCTCCTCTTCCTCCTCCTCCTCCTCCACCTCTTGGTGGTACCACCCGCCTTATCCATTCCTTTCCCTTATGAATAAGTCCTCCCTGTCGCGCCCAGAATCCATTCGGAAGGGCGGGCCGGGCGGGCCGCCTGACACTTCCTCACCGTGGATAATCCTGATGCTTAGGGTTTGCAGCACTTTCGCGGATGGAGTGCGGGCGGTTTTCAAAATGTGGCTCTCGCCTAAACGCCGCGCGCATCCGTCTTCAGAATGTGCAAGCGCTTTGAAACTTAAGGGCGGGTGGTTTTCAAATGTGGCTCTCGCCTTGGCTCCGCGCGCATCCGTCAACAAAAACGGACTGAGGACATGTGGTCTTGAAAATGCGGTTTTCGCCTTAACGGTGCGGACATATCTCACAACCGATTGTAAGGGCTTCACGGGTGGAGGGCAGAACGTTTTCAAAATTTGGCTTTCGCATTAGAGCCGAAGAAATTCGTCAAACAAAATGATAACATCTGCAGCAGGTCGTTTTGAATATGCGGCTCTATTCGTCATAACCGATTGCAAGGGCTTCACGGATGGAGGGCGGATGGCTTTCAAATTTGGCTCGCGCCCTAGCGCCGCGCACATTCGTCATACAAAACAGAAGCAGCTTCTCGGATGGAGGGCGAGTCGTTTTGTTCCCCAAGTAAGCTTGCCTAAGGGGGTTTTACTTCGTGAAAGTTTAGTGCTTCGGGTTTTTTTCTCCCCCGTCCCTCCGAGATTCCTCGGTCTCCCCAGGTTCCCCGGGCTCCCCGCCTTCGGTGCCTCCTATTCTTACGTTGCCCGTCTCCCAGAGGTTCCTCGGGTTACTCGGGTTCCCCGCCCCCGGTGCCTCCCATTTCCCCTATCAGGCTTGCCTAGGGGGCTCTTCCTCGGTTAAAGGCTGGTGCCTCGTACTCTTACGCTGCCCGTTCCCCGGAGGTTCCTCGGGTTCCCTGGTTTCCTCGGGCCCCGCTTCCGGTGCCTCGTATTCATATTGTGCTCGTTCCCCGGAGGTTCCTCAGGTTCCCCAGGTTCCTCGGGTTCCCCGCCCCCGCTGCCTCGTATCATTACGTTGCCCGTTCTTCGGAGGTTCATCGGGTTCCCTGGGTTCCTCGGGTTCCCCGCCCTGCTTGTTAGTTTGTTTGCCAGCATTTCCAGGCAACGCCAGGCAACGCCAAGCAACGCGCAATGCCAAGCACAACGAAGCAGTGCGAGGCGACGGCGAAGAACTACCAAGCAACGCCAAGCAATGCCAAGCAATGCCAAGCAACGCCAAGCAATGCAGAGCAACGCAAAGCAATGCTACGCAACGCCAAGCAACGCCAAGCAATGCCGAGCCGTGCAAAGCAACGCAAAGCACATCAATGCCAAGCGACGCCAGGCAACGCGAAGCAACGCCAAGCAATGCAGAGCAACGCCGCTCAGTAATGCCACGCAACGCCAAGAAGCGCCAGGCAAAGCCAAGCGATGCAAAGCACTGCCAAGCAAAGTTAAGCAATGCAGAACAATGCCAAGCAATTGCAAACAATGCCAAGCATTGTCAAGCAATGCCAAGCAACACCAAGCAATGCAAAGCAATGCCCATCAACGCAATACAATGCAAAGCAAAGCAATGCAATACAAAGCTATTATGAGCAACGCTGCTTAGGAAGCGTTCCCCATAATTGGGATCGCGCCGGGTCCATCAAAATGGGGCTCTCGCCCGAGCGCCGCACACACCCGTCTTAAGAATTTGCACGAGTTGTGCGGATGGAGAGCGGGTGCTTTTCCATTGTGGCTCTCGCCTTGGCGCCGCACACATCCGCGGTAATAGTGGCGCCTCCCGCCGGACCGTGGCGTAGATTATGTTTTGCTTTCAAAAATGCCTTCAGCGACGGGCATGCATCGAGCGGGGCGCTCCGGCCGCGTGACGGAACCCGAGGGATGCCAAGGTGGTTGCAAGTGGCAGCCCCGTGAGGCCGGAGGGGGTGGCCCGTGGCCCGAAGCTGGGCGCGCTGGGCATCGCCGACCCCGCTCAATCGGCCGCCTCCAGCCCGCCGGCGGGCACGGACCCGGCCGCGCCCCCCGGGAAGGGCGCCCATGGCTGCGAAGCCTGCGAACTCCATGTGGCAAGGCTGGTGGTGCGAGGAGGAGAAGTATACTGTAGCCCAGGATGGACCGAAGGGACTTGCGGCAGCGAGCGCTCGAGCTGAGCCAAAATGGCCACAAGTGCCTTGGCTCGCGCCTCGCGCTCGCCCAGCCCAGGGAGCCCCGCTTGCCCTTTGCACTACATCTAATGCGCACCTTAAAGATGTGCAAGAGCTTCACGGATTCAGGACAGGTGGTTTTCAAAATGTGGCTCTCGCCTTGGCGCCGCAGACATTCGTCACAGCGAATTGCTGCAAGTGTTTCGCGAAAAGAGGGCGGACCGTGTTCAAAATGTGGCTCTCACCCTAGCGCCGCGCACATCCGTGATACAACTGGAATGCGGCTTGTTTTCAAAATGTGGCTCTCGCCTAAATGCCGCGCACATCCGTCTGAAGAATGTGTAAGCGTTTTGCGGATTGAAGGCGGGTGGTTTTCAAATGTGACTCTCGCCGTGGCGCCGCGCACATTCGTGTCAACAGTGTACAACAACTCCAAGGGTTCTTTCTAGGTTAACGTCCCAGAAATAATGTTTTGGCACGATGTCGGACCGTCAGGGCGCAACCGTTACGCGGATTCGTGGTGTTGAAGTCCCCGAAATTGTGTTTTGGCACGATTCGTGATCGCCAAGACGCTACAGTAACGATGGTTCGCGTGTTTGAATTCCCAGGAATGGCGTTCTGGCGCAATTTCGGATTTTCGAACGGCTGTTTTCCAACGGGGCGCTTCCTTCAGTGAATATGAATCTTTGTACTGGCCTATGAAGAGGAAGCTTGGAGGGAGGCTGTGTTGCAACATCGCAGATGCGCTTTGGGATTACAATGGTCCTCGTCCTCCTCCGCCTCCTCCTCCTCGTCCACCTCCTCCTCCTCCTCCTCCTCCTCCTCCCCCTCCTCCTCCTCCTCCTCCTCCTCCTCAATCTCCTCCTCTTCCTCCGACCGCGCGCGGGTCTCTCCCGCGGGCGTTCGGTGGTCGGCTGCCAGAGGGCACCTCAGCCGCCCTTTAAACAGGGCGGGCCCCTTCTCTTCACACTCCTCCACCTCGACCTCCTTCTCCCCCTCCTCCTCCTCCTCCTCCTCCTCCTCCTAGTCCTCCTCCTCCTCCTCTTCCTTCCCCTCCTCCTCCTCCTCCTCCTCCTCCTCCTCCTCCTCTTCCTACTCCCTCTCCGTTTCCTTCTCCCCAAATTCCCCCCTCCCTCCGTCCCTCGCACTCCCATCGGTCAGCAGCGCTCGCCGCGGTCGACAGGGCCCGCGCCTCGGTGGTGGTCGGCTGGCCCGAGTCCTCGGAGGCGGTGTCCACTGCGGCCGCTGCATCCTGGTCTCCCTGCGCGTGGGGTGGAGGCGTCGCTGGTCCTCCTCCTCCGCCTCCGCCTCCTCCTCCTCCACCTCCTCCGCCTCCTCCTCCTCCTCCACCTCCCCCTCCTCCTCCTCCTCCTCCTCCTCCTCCTCGTCTTCCTCCTCCTTTTCCTCCTCCTCCTCGTCCTCCCTCCTCCTCCTCCTCCTCCTCCGCATTCCCCCTCTTCGGCTCCCGGGGGGGGGGAGGAGCAGGAGCAAGAAGAAACTCTGGGCCCAGACCATTTTGGCGTGAGGGCCTGTAGCTGAGGCGACGCGCCTTTCGCTGGACTCAGAACTGTCCAGCAGCAGGGGGCGCGCGCGAGACAGCGCGCTAGGCGCGCTCGAGGGGGGCTGCGGAATCCTCTTAGAATATACGACAACGGGCGAAGTGGGGACCAGCCCACTTGCTGCTCGCAGCGCTTCGAGCACAGACTGTCAGACTCTCCTGTCAGAGCATCATTCGGCACAACGGCCAGAAGGAGGAATGTCGGGCTTCGGCAGGTGGAACTGACCGTGCGGGAGGTACGTGACAAACCATGGCAAGTTTCTATGCGGCAGCCACTACGAGAACCGTGCCACGGACACACAGCATTCCTCGAGACCCCGGGGGTGGAGGTGGACAAGCAAGTGTGCCAGGCGCCTTCCCCAGCGTGGACAGGGTGATCGAGGACTCGAGGAGGCAGGAAGCGCGTGCTCGCCAGCGAGAGCGCCAGAGGAGCGCGAGCCGCGCCAGGCGCAAGGAGGGGCAGGGCGCGGACAAGGCAGTGAGGTAGTACCTCGCGCGGGTTGTGCCTATGACGAGGGCGGCGGCTGTGGACCACGGCGGCTGCGCCGAGGGTGGCTCGACGGACGTGCTGGCGCAGAAGACGCTTCAGAACGGGACGAGGGCCCAGATGGCCGAGATCGCTAAAATAGCGATGGCGGCGCGCCGCGCAGGAGAGGCGGACGACGTCGCGAGGCTGGACACCAAGCTGAGCGTGTACAAGTGCATGACGGGCAGCACGATGCCGACGGATGCCCAGCTTGACGAGATGAAGGTCAAGCGCGACACAGCAGCAGAGCGGCTTCGCAGCGCCCATGAGAGACTGGCGATGCTCCAGGAGCAGGAGGAAGCGATCCTGGACAATATACCTCAGCGCGGCGGCGTCACGTAACAAGCCGCCATGGGCGTTGTCCCTGGACGCGGCGAGCGATAGACTGAGGGGAGACCTGAGGAGGGAGGGGTCAATGAGGACGCGGCTGGCCTTGATGGCCCAAGGTGCCATCACGGGGCCCATGGCAGCCCCCCGCGCGAGACCTGGCACGCGGCCCGATCGGCGCCTTTGGGTGAGCGGCGGGGCGGGCGGGGGGGCCGGGGCCCGCGAGGTCTCGCGAGCCCCCGCGGGACCTCAAGGGGCTGCCGGCTCAAGAACGAGGCCATGTCGCGGTGGGAAACGAGGTCGTTAGGCATCAGGGCGCCGCCCGCGTCTCGACTCGCGCCGTGCTGGCCGGGGGCAGGGGGGCGACGGCGCCCGGGAGGGCACCTGGCTGCTGTGGGGCGGGACGGGGCGGGGTCTTATAGGGCGGCGGCACCAAAAGAGCACCCGTCTGAGCTCTGCCGCGTCTTTGCAGCCACGTTCTTGAAGGATACCACTGCTGACGTCAAAGACGGTCTCCCAAGGTTCGAGGTCCCAGAGGCAGCGCCAGACTTCCACATGCCCTAGACCCGCAAGTGACACCTCTCCAGCAGCACGACTGTGCCTTTTTGTTCCTTGGGGGGCAAGGGCGTCCGAAGGTGGCGGAATCGCTCTCTTCTCGGCCCGTGCTCTTTTCGAACTCGCGTCTGTCGGCGTGTCTCGGAGTCACCATTTCAGCACTCGGGAAGAAGGAGCAAGAAGAGGAGGCGGAGAAAGAGGAGCGACGCTCTCCTTTCAACTAATCTAGGCGGACCAGGGCGATGGAAGAAACCTGACGTGTCCCTCCTTCTTGTTGTGTTGGGGGGTGATACTCTATGATGGAAAGGACCAGGCTGTACACCATGCACCTGGCAACTCTTTGCTGTGGTCTGGTTCCTCCAGCTTCACGACTCTGCTACCCGTGCTGTAAAAGTGGCAGCCGAAACAGGCACAAGATAACGACCCGTTCGAGCAGTCCACCACTCCGCAGCGGTGCTTCATGCGGGCAGTCAGGTCGTTATTAAGCCGAGGGGGCTTGGAACAACGGCCTGGGGAAGGACGTGCTTCACCCCGCTTCCCTCGGAGACAGGCAACGCATTGCCACCAAGATCCTGCCCAGGCTCAGTCGTGGGCCGCTGCAGCTGATGATTTAGCCTGGGGAGGGGGCTTACAATACTTGACCTACGATAGGTCACATATGGGCCAATCCCAGAGGAGCTTGGCCACAAGGTTCAGCACCACTCTGCTGGTGCTGATATTAAAAACGTGCGATCCTGGACAATGTGCTCGGGTTGGAGGTGGGATCGCGGCCCCAAACGCAGCCGAAACATCCGCACAGTATGTGCCTTGTCAACGGAAGCGCCTTTGATCACAGATGCCGACTTCGTCCAGCTCTTTGTGAGCCGCGGCTTACACAACAGCCAATACTTCCCGAGGGGCACCCACGACACACTCCAGAACCCAGCCAGCGTAGGACAGCATCCCAAAGGCACGGTCCACGGGGCCGCGAGAACAAACAGAGACAACACTGGCGCAATCCGAGTACAGTACTGCCTCGGGGCATCTAAATTGGCACCAACCCCGCCAAGGAGCAGAATTTCGACGCCTGGGGCGACTGAGGAAAGTGAGGCCATACTGGTCCGCAGCACAAGCCCAACAAGGACCCACTGTATGAAACTTGAGCCAAGCCCAACCACCCCGAGATAATTTGATAGCTAAAGCAGCTGCCGAACCGGAAAGCGTGTCTGAAATACCTAATACCCTCCGAACAAGAATGCCCCAAACCAGCTGAAACTGTCCTCGAAGGATTGCAGAACCACGTGGTCTATCTGGGAGGAGGAAGAGGAGGAAGAGGAGGAGGAGGAGGAGGAGGAGGAAGAGGAGGAGGAGGAGAAGGAGGAGGAGGAGGAGGAGGAGCGCAAGTAGCTGATCGCCGAACGTCGTCACAACTACATGCTGATTGCAGCTTGCGCTGCTTTCAGTAAGTTAACGTATGCAGAGTGCGTGTGAGGAGGCGAAGCATCGTGCCGCACTTTGTTTTAAAAACGAAAGCACAGGACAGTGTAAACATGAGCATGCTCGCGCTCAAATTGTGTGGTATACAAATGCGGGAGCGCGAGCCCTAAACGAACCAGAGGATCCAGAGGGAGAGGAGATCGAGCAAGAGACATAAAACCGTGGAGGCGGGGACAAGATAGGTAGTGGTGAAAAGCATCAGGGCACATGTGACAGCCGAAAAGGCACGATCTGGGTGTTTCCACCTTGACCCTGTGTGTGGTCGTCCACCCTCCTGCTATAGTTTTCAGGTGGGCCCAAATCCATGCTGGCCGCGAGGCCAATAAAACCAACCTCAACTCCGACCACGCTTGCCCTAGTTCTGTGACTGGTGGGGCGGCGCGTTCACCCAACCACTTTTCTCGCATCGGCGCCTGAGGAGATGAGGCACGGAATCGGGGAAGAGGGAGGTGATCAAGGAGGAAAGGTAGAGGCCTTGTGGTCGGGGCCGGCGATGCGCAGCGACGGCATCAGCACAGCCACGCGTGGCAGCCTGGCTAGCCACGTAGAAACGCGAACGTGTAAGTTTATGCCAAGTCGTGCTACTAACAGCATCCGCCCAGCGCTGCACAATCGCTCGGGGCTCTTTCCAAGAGCTGGCATGACCAAGTTCCTTGGACGACCTGCGGTAGCGAAAGGGCGTCTTCTGCACTGGTGCGAAGCTCCTCGATCAAAGGGCCCCAATCCTGCACTGTAAACGCTGCTGTGCGCCAGAGATGGGCCTGGCTCCACGGAGAGAGGGGCCGGTGCCGTCCACCTGGCAGCCAAACGCAAAGTGAGTGGAGAGTGGGGCCGTCGAACGAATTAGGAGGGAGGCGGAGGACACGATGTAATAACCCGAGCTTTCGGGAAAGCATGGAATCTAGAGGTTTAAAAAATTGGGCGAGATAGGAGAGGACGGTGAGGGCAACAGCCGAGTATGACCGAAGCGACGCATCGGCAGGGGCACGAGAAGTCGGGATTATGTAAGAGCGCTCTAGCAACTTCTGCTCGGCTGCTTTCCACTGGTCGAGGTTTGTGGCGCCAGGACCCATCAGGAGGAAGAGGAGGAGGAGGAGGAGGAGGAGGAGGAGGAGGAGGAGGAGGAGGACGCCTCCGGCGCGGAAGCGTGTCTCCAAGGGTTGATCCAATGGCGGCGGTTCCTCCCAGCGGAGGAAACTGAGGCTTTCCGGCACCAGGACCACGTGGAGGCCGTCGCCCTCAGCGCTGTTGGGCTTCGCCCTACATCCGCCGAGACCCCCCCGCAAAAAGTCTACGGCCCTGCTTTGCCTCCACCGCCACCAAACCACCTGTGGGTCCCCACGCGTTTCCCAGCCCCGGCCGTGGCGTACACTGAACATGCTTCCCTCCGCCCGCCCCGCCCCGACATCCCCAGAGTGCGTCGCACGGTTTTTTTACGTCTTGCACTTGGTTGGTGGCCCACGCCGCCCCGGAGATGTCCAGGACCACTTCGAAAGCTTAGCGTCGGCCGCCGGCTTCCCTCTGGTCGTGCTAAGCTTGCCAGCGGCCAGCGATGAGGTCCAAGAGTGCACGTTTGAGTCACATTCGATACCTTTATTCATGGACCTCATCCAGGATGGGCACGCGATTGGGGTGTTCGCGGACCCGCCACGAGCGACGTGGTCAGCAGCTCGACCGAGTTTTCTTGGACGACACAGGGGCCCCCGCCCTGTCAGATCCATCAGTAGCTGATGGGGGGTCCCCACGAGCTCCATTTCTGAGTGGAGACAACTCGAACTGGGCGAGGCGCTGTACAGATCGTGTCTGACTTTCATGTATGCTTGCTACATGCTTGGAGCGGCAGGCACCTTTACACACCCCGCGCCCCCTTCTGACCCCCTGGCTCCCTTTTGCTGGTTCCTGCCAGAGATTGTCAATTTGCGCACCCTGGGCAGGCAAGACACTAGCGGGAACTTGGATTTGGTCTGGGTCGGTCAATGCGAATTCGCGGCCGCCGCGGTCGAACCCACCCAGTTTTACTGGTTGGTCAGCCCTCGTTTCCCCAGGCTGTGTCTGGCCTTCCGCGCGGAGGGCGCTGCTCCCACAGAGACAGCTCAGGCAGACACCCGCGCGAGGCTGCCAGCGGCGGCGTCCCCGACGACCTCCGAGCAGCGCAACCCGAGCAATACAGTTCGGAATTGTGCGCTTTCATAGCGGCACATCTGTTCCAAGCTGTCACCACTCGGCTGCCGGAGGCGGCCGGGCCGCCCTCTTCAGGCGACAGCGCTGCTCTCAGGGAGGACCTCACCCCCTTCTACTCCCCTCTCTACTCTTAGCCTCAATCCCCCTTCTCCTCCCCTCCCTTCCTGGCAACGTGCGCATTCGTTGACATCGTTCCGTTTGTCCACGGGGGGCTGGAGGGATATTGGGTAGCAGACCAAGAGGGGTGGGTACGAGCACGGGGACGAGACACGACCCGCGGCCAGCGTTTGGATTGCCGCGGGCGCGCTGCTTTTTTAATGCGGCGCCAACTCACGTTTCACTTCACTGTTTCTTCCATGAGGAAGGCGCGGTGTCGCAGCACCTAATCAACTCTTGCAGTACCATGAAGGCGGGTGAAGAGGGATTTTGGTGAAAGGGGACAGGAAGAGCAGGAGGGCGGTATCTATCACCCGGGTGTGCGCGGCACCTGACCAACTCTCGCGGTAATGGGAAGGGCGCCGGGTGTGCGCGGCACCTAACCAACTCTCGCAGTACCCATGCTGTCCTCCTCCTCCTCCTCCTCCTCTTCCTCCTCCTCTTTCTAATTCAGTGCCTCGCTGCTGCCTTCGTGCTCCGGTGCCGTCGGGAAGAAGAAGAAGAAGAAGAAGAAGGAGGAGGAGGCGGAGGAGGAGGAGAGGGGGGTTGATGCGACGAGGGACTTGGCGCGAGGCGTGCTGCAGATTGACTAGCTCTTCGGGATGTCTACAGCAGCAATACAAGAACTTACGGGAGCCACGAACCCCGTAAGGAAAGTAAGTCGAAGACTCTGCTGTCAGACGTCTCTGGTGGCTCCTCCATGTGCGAGGGTGTTTCAAACGAGGGCCAAGCTCTTGAAGGTACGTCGAATTCAGGAGCGCACTGGACATCGCATGTTTGTCTGAGGATTTCTTCAGCGAAGCGCCCCGCTGCACCCAGTCCGATATCCGACGCCCGAGCTCAACGTCTCAGTGCTCTGAGGATGTCGCTTGCGACACTTTCATGCTTGAGAGCCAGCGACGTACACCAACTCCCCCAATAGTCCCATTGCGCGAAGATGTCTCAACGAAGCGCCCCCAGCACCGGGTTGAGCATGCGATACCCGATCTCCGACAACTTTTGGCCTGGGGATGTATGGAGCGAGCGCCTCGTTCTTGAGGGGCAACGCCGTAACAACAAACAACTTCAATATCTACACAGTGTGTGAGGATGCCTCAGGCGAAACACCTCCACACACACCATATTGGATATCCGATGCCCGATCTCCAACATTCCAAGTGTCTAAGGATGCCCCAAGCGAAAACGCCATTCCAATTTGAGGCCGTACGTTGTAACACAACTCCTCCACGACCCCCCTGTTGTGAAGATGTCTCAAGCGAAAAGCCCCTCACACACCACGTTGGATATCCGACGTCTCATCTCAAACGTCATATCTACTGAGGGTGATTCAAGCAAAAGTGTTGTTGAACAGTCAGCGTTGTATAGCAGCTCATGTAACATCCCCAAGTGATGAGGACGTCTCAAGCGAAACGCCCCCCACACACACACACACACACACACACACACACACACACACACACACACACACACACACACACACACACACACACACACACACACACACACACACACACACTCACACCACACCATGTTGGATATCCGACGTCTGATTTCCAAGATCTCATGTGTTGAGGATGTCTCCGGCGAACGCTTCATGTTTGAGGACAAGCGTCGTAACCTGACTCCTCCAGTATCCCTATTGCGTGAGGATCTCTGGCGAAACGCACGCCCCAGACCATGTTCGACATCCGACGTACGATCTTCAACATCCGAATTTTCCGAGAATGTCTCAAACGACAGCTTCACTCATTTCTGAAAACTTACATCGTAAAACAACTCCTCCAATATCCCTATGCTGTGAGAGTCTCTCAAGCAAATAATACGTCCCGCACTATGCTGGATATGCGACGTCTGATCTCCACTGTCTCATGTACTTAGGATGTCTCAAGCGAGAGCTTTGGTTTTGAAAGTCCATGTCGTAAAACAACCCATCTAATATCGCCATGTAGCGAGGCTGCCTCAAGTGAAACGCTCCCCTCACACCATGTTTGATATCCGACGCCCCCGTGGACACGTGAAAACACGCGTCCCGCGCGCACGCCCCCCTCCGCGCACGCAAAGAATCCGACGCTTCTTAGCTGGATACCCCCCTGGGGCCCCGTTGTCGCCAGGAGCAAGTGCAAACGCGCGCCAAACGCATGCGCAACAAAAAGCATGTTGCAGACCGCCCCCTTCCGCACACTTTTTCTTTACATGCCCACTTCAGACGCCTCTCTGGTGCAGGGCCTGATGCCCGCACACAGAAAGAGAACCCTGGGCCCAAGCCCTCACCGGGAAAAACTCAAAAGCCGAACGGGGGCGACCCCACTAGAGAGCGATGAGACACCAGGCCGCGAACTGGACAATCAGGTTGGGGCGCCCTGAACGACTGCACTAAATCTGAAAGCACGGCGCCTGACCAGGCACACGCACGAAGCGGCAAGACGCAACGGCGAGCGGGCAGAAAGAGAGGCAAAGTGCAGAAAGGAATAGAGGGGGAAGAGAAATCGCCAGGCGAACGCCTAGAACGAACAGGCTGCGCGAAGCCACGGAGGAGTGGAAACGCACCCTAAGCGGGAGCGCGAACACGCACGGAAAGGCTAGGGAATTGCTGGCGTGGCGGTGCGCTTCGGAAAAACGCCAGCACTGAAGCGATGGCGGTGCACAAGCACGGCAGGCAAATCCTGGGCGAGTGAGCGCACCGTACTTCGTGCGTCCAGGGTCCAGACCCCAGGGGAAAGGCAGGAGAAGCCAGGGACAGCTCGCCTGCACAGGGAAGACGAACGGGGGCAACCCAAGACTTGGAGGCCTGATTGAAGCGCTGAGCGCGGCAGAAGCAGCGCACTGGATCACCGACCCAGGGAATGGACAAGGAGGCGGGAAGCGCAGGAGCAGGCAGGGTGGGGGTGACCTAACACCAAGACACTGCACTTCGATGCAACAGCACGTGGGGCGCGCCAGAAAGCGCCTGGAGCAGCTAGAGTGGCCAAGGCAGGGACAGAGATGATTCCGAGGCCAGTGTGCAGGCATGAGTGAGAAGAGGAGGCGGCTCACTACAAAGAAACGGCAAGCCTCGACAAAATGACTAACTGAATGCCGGGAGGCACGCGATGCACGAATGAGGCTGCGAAGCAGGAAAGACGGCCGGGAAGGCCAGAGAGCGACGGGCGGACCAATCTGACAAACTAGCTCGTTCTTCTGGCGCTGCGTACTGGATCCAGCACGAGCGACAGATAAATCCGTTCGAAGCCTGGCACATGCGAAGGCCACACCAGATGCCATCCCATGAATGGCTGCTACAGTAAGCGCACCGCGGGGGTGGGGGGCCATCGAGAGTGCGGCATGCGGCGCAGTGGTAAGGCACTGCATCGCTGCGAGAGACGGGCCAGGCGTAGGCCTCGCACGTCGTGCAGCGCGGAGGGCTGACATGGAGCCCGCGCCGCGAACAGCTTCGAGGATGGAGCTCTCGCCTTAGCGCCGCGCACATCCGTCTTGAAGGTTTGCAGCAGCTTTAGGGGGAGAGGGCGGGCCGTTTTCAAACTGGGGCTCTCGCCCTGGCGCTGCGCACACTCGTTCAAAAACGCGTAACAATTGGGGGGATCGTGGGCGGTCCCTCTTCAACGGGAAGCTTCCGCTCGAGACTTCTTGCACTTCCAAAGCCACAAGCTTGAACAGATTCAACGGCTGCGCGGACGGAGGGCTGTTCCCTTCCAGAGCTGGGCGTGCGCTTGGGACTCCTCCAACCCTGAAGACCAGAAGCTTCAACGCATGGTACAGCTGCGCGGATGGAGCTCGGCTCCTCCTCACGATGAGGCCAGGCCCTCGCTTGCGACGTCCCCGACGCTCGTGACCGGAAGTGCAGACGTGCAAGAGAGTTGCACGCATGGTGTGGCAGGTGCTCGACACGGGGGTCTCGCTGGACACCTCGCAGAACTAGATACCGCTGCGCCTTCCGTACCACCCGCCAGAACGGTGCAAGGCAGGTCCTTTGCAAAACGGGGCCCTCGTCTGAATGGCAGAACCACAAGTTACTGGTCTGTCGTGGAGGCACTTCCTGAGGTGGGAAAGCAACTGGTCTGTCGTAGGGCCATATGCCTGTGAGGAGTGAACTTGAAACGGGAGCGTCTATCGCAGCATCGTTCATGCATCTTGGTTTTACTCTGGTCCTGCTTCTCCTCCTCCTCCTCCTCCTCCTCCTCCTCCTCCTCCTCTTCCCCCCGACTCCTCCTCCTCCTCCACCTCCTCCTTCTCGTCTTCCCCCGACTCCTCCTCCCACTTCCGCCTGCTGCGCCGTCCAGCCCCTCGCTCTCACCCGGGCAATGACGGTCGAGAGGGGGCCTGGCCGCCGCCGTAGTACATCGAGAGCTCGTCGCCGGCGGCCTTGTCCTTCTTCGCCTTCATGATATCCTCGAGTAGGCCGCTCTCGGATGATTTCGGCAAGGAAAAGTAGGAGAAGAGGCCGATCGTAGAAGCGATGAAAGGACTACGGTGCCCGATCTGGAAAGCTAGTAGGCTGGACTAAGACGTCTCAGATGGACTCGGCTGGATCAAGTCAAGGACTGAGCCCCCCGATCAGGCGGGATTCAGCCACAAAAGCTCTTCTCAGGAGACCAGGGCCGAGGCTGCATTCAGCCTCCCCGGCATTGAAAACCAAGATTAGTTGCACAAGAAGCTATTTCCGCATTCTGCCTCTTCGGGCTTCGGGGAGAGACCTCGTCGCCACGGCCGGGATCGCCTCCAGGTTCTGGCCAGAACGTGCTCCAGGTCCTCGCCTCCAGCCCTCGTCGCCACGGCCAGGCGTAACTCCAGGCCCTGGCCAGGACGCGCCTCGGGAAAGGCGTGAGTCTGAGGGCTCGAGTTTGAAGGCGCTGCTCGGAGATGGTGCACTTTGCGCAGATGTCCTGCGGACTCGAAGCGTTCCAACAAGCTTCTGGGTGGACCCGGAGGAGGGAGGACGAGGCCTGTGGAATCCCGAGGTCGCCCGCGAGGCCGCCCGGCGGGGCGCGCCGTCCTCGAGGGAGGGCGAGCCGTCCCCGGCGTAGCCCACGCTGAGGGGGATCCAGTCGCTGGTGGACCTCTCGGGCGGCCATCGGCGGCCATCGGCGACCATCGGCTCCTTCTCCTCGTCATCCCTCCCTCCCCCCGGTCTCCTCCCCCCGCCTCCCCCGCCTCCTCCGCCTGTCCTTCTCCCAGAGTGTTGCACGAAAAGTCGATTGGCAATCAGTCTTCTGGTGTACTGCCGTCGGGGCGGGGTGAGATTTTTGATTGGCAGTCGAAAGGCAGCCCAGCTCAGTGCGGCAACTTCCTGTGTATTCTGGCAATCAGTCTTGTGGTGTATTGCGGGGTGCAGATGAGGCTTTGATAGGCGAACAGCCTTTTGGCGCGTTGCACTCGAAGGATGAGATCGTGTCTGGAGAACTGCCTGATCGGAACGCTGGCGCCTCGTTTGTTGGTGTACATCGTGAGCCTGTACATGCTGATCGTCCGAGTCCTGCTGGAGGCCGCCCCCCGCCGACGGTGTCAGCCGCAGCGCTGCCCCGATCTGGGGCCGAGAATCAGTCAAGCCTGAGAGGGGGATCGCACCCAGCAGCAGCCAGGGGAAGCAAAGGACAGGCTCAGCAATCCCAATCTTGGGCATGCATAGGCGAAAACTGGATTCCCTTCGGAGCATCCTGCATGCCCGCCTGCATCCTGAACGGGAATGGGGGGGACCTTGTTCAATCAGCTCATGTTGCGGATAGTTTCAGTCCTCCCCCCGGAACTCGCTCGCAGTCAGCGCTTAGCCGAATTGGTCGATGGAGGAGTTTTTGCCCCGAACCCTTCCCCTTCATCGTCCTGAGCTGTCCCCTCCTCCTCCAGGATTGCGACCGCTGTCGGATTCCTTTGTGCCGATGCCTCGACGCTCCCGTCGTTCAAGGCCTCCTCGGCCGCCGTAGGTAGTTCGGTCAGCTCAGTAGTGGTGCCTATCACACCCCAAGCTGATACCCCCCAGCCAACGGGCGGGTCGAGGGCCGTAGGTGGTGTTCCACCCCGCTCAGAGGCAGTGGACAGCATCCGAGGTTTCTTGCATGCTCCTCCGCCTCCTCCTCCTCCTCCTCCTCCTCCTCCTCCTCCTCTACCTCCTCCTCCTCCCTCCTCGTCCTTGTCCTCCTCCTCCTCTTCCTCCCCCTCCTCCCTCTCCTCCTCCCTCCCTCCTCCTCCTCCTCCTCCTCCTCCTCCTCCTCCTCCTCCTCCTCCTCCTCCTCCTCCTCCTCCCCCCACCTCCCACCTCCCAGCGCCCGCTTGCTACGAGTCAATGGACTCTTCGCGACCCCGCGCCGCGGGCGCTGCCCTACTCCCGGAGCTTCGCCTCCCCCCCTGCCGCGGGCGATGGAGCCGGTTCAAGCGCGGCGGCCTCGCTGGCCGAATCGGTCCGCCTCCGAGCGCAGAGCCCAGTACAGCCGCGCCGACTGGCGAGCTGCGGGGCGGCTGCTGAAGGCGTTCGCCGACATCAAGCGCCACCGCGGCCAGGGCCTCAGCGGTCTGGCCCTGGCACTGCGCATGGCACTTGCGGGCACGCCAGCAAATGCGGCCAAGAAAGTTGTAGTCGAGCTCTCTGTCGTACCGACCGCGGGCATCGCCGTCGTTGTACGTGGCGAGGCTCCCGTTGCTGGCCGCACCCTCGACACGGACTTCCTGGCGCATGCAGCAACTGATGCAGCTGCCATCGAGGTCGAGTTTACGCAGCTCGGCGCTTCGGCCCAGCCTGCCAAGAGGGGAGCCGACGCTGGGGCAGAAGGAGACGATGGAGATAACCGAAGCGGCGCTGCGCCAAAGGCTCGGAGGCCCGTGCGGGCCACTCCGATAACCCGAGCGCTGCCCAAGGCGCCCATGGACCCCGCTGGTGTCGCTACGGCGACCAGGCGCTTGGGCACTGCCATGGCGCAGAGTCTCGACACCGCCTCGAGGGATCTCGCTGCCGTGGAAGCCGAGCTCGCAGCTACAGGACTCTCCGTCCCTCCTGGGCCTCCTCGTACACGAGGTGTTTTGCTGTTCGTTTGGCTGCTGGCTCTTCGCCCAGGGGTGCTCTACTTCGCGGAGGGCCGCTGCCGCCAGCGCGAGTACGCCTCCTGAGGGCCAGTACCGCTCAGAGCTCCTAACTGGGGAGGAGGGTGAGTACGCCTCTTCGGGGGTCAGTGCCCCACCTTCCCATCCTTGGAGGAGAGCTCCTGGGGGAGCGGCGGGGCGCGTGGCGCACATTCCGCCTGCTGGACGCGAGGAGCGTCTTCAGCCATCGAGCTCCTGATCCTGAATGCCTGCGTCGTGGATGGCTTCCGGTTCGTCGTCCACTGCTTCACCCTCGGCCACGCCGCTGAGCGCCGCCTGACGCGGTCGGTCCGCATCATCGGGCGCCCGCCGCTTCGACCTTCGCGTCGATCGAAGCTCATCGGTGCTCCTCCTCCCACCCCCTCTCGCTACGACAAATCACTGAAGGATTTTGTTAGCAATGTTCGGCGTCCAGGGGCCCTCGCTGGTCCCCGGGACCGTCAAGAAACGACTCGGGATGAAAAGCCGGCCCTGAGGAAAGGGCCAGGAATCACTGGGACCCTGTGCCAAGACATCCGATGTGAGGACCAATCTCCCCCTCCCTCCAATGCCTCCTGCAGCTCCTCCTTCTGCTCCTCCTCCTCCTCCTCCTCTTCCCCTCTTCCTTTCCGTGGGTTGATCGATATCCAAAACGGTCGAAGCACACGATGGCGGGAAGGGGGCGAGAAGGCCAGAGGGTGAAGACCAGGGAGGCAGCAGCAGCAGCAGCAGCAGCAGCAAACCCGCCAGGCGATGCAAATGCCACAGGCGCCGAAGGTCCGTCGGCCTCCGCTGGGTGCGAGGCGTCAGCCCCCGGACATCCTCGAGGGCGAGGCGCTCTCTGGAACGCCCAGTGCGTATCAAGCTCTCGCCCAGGCTGGCCGCGTTGAGCGCGAGCGTGGCGTGCCTTCCTTGACCCCCCTCCCCGAGCGACTTGATCCCGAGGATCTGCTGCATGAGCAGCACGGAGTGGGAGGACAGTAGCATGAAGTTCCCCGCCATCTGCCCTGGAGGCCGCGGACCGGCGGAGGAGGAGGAGGAGGAAGAGGAGGTGGAGGAGGAGGAGGAGGAGGTCGACGAGAGCACCCGTCCCCTGGGAGCGGGCACGCCCACGGGGCACTGTTCCAATGCCAGTCCAAGACGGGGCATCGCCATGCGAGCCCTTTGTCCAGGGCGCCAGTATCGGCCACAGTGCAAGGACGAGTGTGAGGCCTCGATATGTCGAGCTCCAACTTCCTTCATGTCATGCCAGCCCTCATGGGCAAACTTTTGCTCCTTAGACAACGCGCGGAGAATCAGCTGCGGTCATGGGATCTACACGGTCCCGCTTTCATCTGTCAAGCTGCTACCTGTTTGGCCCTCAGCAATGTTAATCGACTCGGCCGAACTTCACTCGCGCTCGCTTCAACTAGACAGGGACATGTTCCTTCATCCCCAGCTGCAGCATACTCGTACGAGTATTGACAGGACGCTCCCAGCCAGTGAATGGAACCACCTCAGTAAGGCCCTGAGGTTCGAGGGCAAGGAGGCTTACAAAGTCCCAGAACTCCCCAGCCTTCCCGTGAGCTCGGCGCAGTGTCCGAGACGCCTACACATTTGAAGAGTAGCATCCAGCCATGCAAGGCCACTTTAATTGTTCCTACGTTTCCCAAACCGACGATGAAAGCTGCCAGCTTCCAAACTGATGGGAAGGCACTCTACCATGATGAAACAGGCCGAAGAGAAGAAACGCAACATGTGAGGCAGACCGCAGACCAAATGGGCAGCGTGGTTGCCAAGCACGGCCTCGGATGAGAGACGAGGGGCGCCGAGAGAGAAAGCAAGGAGGAGCATGAAGGGAGAGAGCGCATCGAGAGAGCGAGAGAGAACGCAAATGCTGCAACGCAAAGCCACGGGACAAGGAAAACAAAGTGAAACGAACCGATGTGTTACTCGAGCTCCTGAGACTCAAAGAGGTGGCACAGCGCACGATGTATGCTCATATAAGTCCCCAGGGAAGTCAACGCGGCCAGCACAAACACACATGCGCACACCTGAAGGTAGTTAGGTAGGTAGGACAGCCCCAGGGGGAAGAGACTCGCAAGTCATACCAAGCTGGGGGTCCATCAAAATGGACCTGTGCAGCCACGGGAGAAGGGTGACGGGCTACCCCGTGAACGCGACAGGACAACACACCCCGAACACCCCGAACAGACATTACGCTTCCTCTGCCTGGGCTTCGCAGAGGCGGATTCACTCTCGGAGCGCCGCCATACATTGCTCATACTTGTAGGGGGGAGAAACATCAAAAGCAGAAGGCACCACAGTATGACTCTGCATCTGACCTCGGGAGCGGGGTTCCAAGGCAAGGGCATGACACCCGGCAGACTGGGTTGCCGGGCCCGAGAAATTTCGGCACTTTTGTGGCACATCGCTCCCTTTCTTGTGGGGGTGCCTGTGGGAAGCTCCCAACTTTCTGTCACACCGCCGGAATCAACACCCGCAGCGGACATACACACAGCCGTTGCAGCGAAGAGGGTTTGGAGGTGTTTTGCCGAGGCGTTCTTCGGCGGCTTTCGCCGACGAGCACGTGGCCGAGCGCACGACCGACGACCTCGGCGACGAAGCTCGGGGTAGGCGAAACCCAAAGGAAAGATGAGGGGGAAGCACAAACAACAGCCCTACACAAGCAAAGCGCCGAAAACAAGAGGCGAGGAGCAGGAGGGCCACGATAACTACAACAGGGGGAGCGGTGCCTTCTTTCATGGGGGGGCACTAGGCATACTGTGGCTGTCGTCCCCGTATCCTTCACTGAGGAAACCCTTTTTCTCAAAGGCAGCTCTGGGGGAAATTAATTCCCAAAGACAGTGTGTAAAGCCGATGCCGGCTAAGCGACTCGTTTGTTCCACACGATCCTCACCCTCACCAACGTCGCCGCAGACGGGCGCGTTCGGATTAACCCGACTTGGATGAGGGGGCGCTCTTCCGCAAGCATGATGGTGCCCCCCCTTGCCCAGCGGCCAACGCGACATTCTTAAATGCAACACCATATCCGAAATATAACACCGCCATGTCAAACAACTGGCTGAGGATATTATGTGCGCTTATCTCTTGACTACCCACTACGGAGATGGTGCGGGCAAGAATGGATTTCGTGCGCGTCGGCAGCCACCAGCACTGGCATACAGCTCGCTCGAAGGCCTTTTGCGTCGCGAAGCCCCTCTATGCCACTGTCAAACGAATTGCTCTGGACCTCCCAAGGATACCCAGGCCCTTGAGCACGCGATTGTCCATGACCGACGTTCACATCCTGCACGGAAGGGTGAACGCGCAGCTCCCGAACCGCTCACCCGCTCAACCTTAGGTAGCACTGATTCCGAAGATTGACATGCCGTCTTCCTAGCTCAAGAAGCCCAGTCTGGGTCGGCGTGGAGGCTGTGTTGACGGATACTTGCAAATCCTCGGCTTTGGGCGCACGCCGAGGCTGCATAGTTAGTAGAACAATATTCGACAGCGCGCGGGAGCGTTGATGGAGATCCAGGAACCGCTCGTTCGGGAAGAAATCTTGTGGCAACCACCAGGTTGGCCATGTGGGTTGCTCCGGCCGAATGTTAGGCGATTTCCACTCACGATCCTTCCTGTGTGGACCGTTTGATGTTGCTCCCGGTCGGCCTGCTTGGCGACTTGCCCCAGCCCATGAGACGTTTACCGATGCACCCTTGCCTTAGACTCAACACCCCACAGCCAAGCAAACAGTGCACAGACAGAGGCGGCTGGAACCCCTGCAAGCTGTGCCACAAACGAAGGCACAAAACGAAATGAGACCCCTCAACGAGGGGGGAGCCTCCTGAACGGCGGGTGCGGGTGACCCAAAAAAGAGAGAGGGGCGGATGATGTAGACTCGATCGCACGGCACCCGCCCAGAAGCACGAGGCTTTGCCAGCACCACTGAGTGAAAAACAATCCGTGCGTGAGACACATTTAACGCCTTGCACCTGGCGGAAGACAATGCAGGGCAATGCCATGAGCCATAAAGACGGAGTTCCACACCACACGCCGGCGGAACAACATTGACGAGAGACCGACACCTTCTCACTGGCAGTGCCATCTCCTAGGGAAACCCGAGCAGAGTCGCCAGCTTAAGGCCTTAGACAAAACGAAACCAACATCCTGTGCCTGGGAGCGGACTGGGCGGCGCGCGTGGTCTGTTTCATCCACTGCCACTTCCGCCACCAGCCGCTATGGAACGAATCTCAAACTTGTCAGGGGCAGGGCTGGGAGGCGCTCGCGGTCTGTTTCATCCACTGCCACTTCCGCCACCAGCCTGCCCGACCGCTGACATCGCAGTAACCGTTGGGGGAGCCTGAGAGAGAGAGAGAGAGAGAGAGAGAGCGAGCGAGCGATGGCGGCGGTGGCCGCTGGAAATATGTGGCTGCGACGCGTCGCCTCCATACTCGCTCCATGTGCCGCTCACTCCATTCCTGTCGTCTGTTTGTGTCCGCTCCCTGCTCAGCCATCCCTCGCGAGGCTCATGCTGTGGTTGATTGTACGTGCTCCAGACGTGCATCCCGCGAAGAGGGCGGAGCGCAAGGGGGGAAGAGCAGTGCCTCGTCTGGTGACCTCGCTTCCGAAGAGGAGTCCCCCGCCCTGGGGGCCCCTGAGATCTGGATACAGTGTTCTCACACCTGCCGTGTTCGCCCTGTGTCGGGCCCTGGGACCACCACAGGTCGACCTGGCTCGAAGCATGCCGCAGAAAAGATGGGGTCGGTGGGGCTCCAGTCATGATCATTCGCGGTATTTTTTGTTCGCAACGTCGGGACTCACGGTCCACGGGGCAGTGGCTCAGCGGGCCACTCCTCTTAGCCACGTCCGATCTCTGTCGGCGCCCTGCTGCTGCTGCTCGCCCCTTCCCCTGCATGGAGTATGTGCGTGCTCCTTTTTCTGGTCTTCACATGGATTCGGACGATGCTCCTGCCAGATCGGGCGAGTGTTCGAGTGCGAGGAAGGCTGAGGAGGTTGAAAAATAATCCTAATCCTGAACTGCACCAAAACACCATTCCTGGGATTTCAACGCCGCGAATCACCGTTACCTTTGCGTCCTGGCGGACCTGAATCGTGCCCGAACATCATTCCTGGGACTTCAACACCACGAATCAACGTAACTGCTGCGCCTTGACAATCCGACAACCCCATTTCTGGTACGCTACCCATAAGAATCCTTGATTCGATTGTGAATACTTAAATCCCCTTAAAACGAAAGTGTGAGGCGTTATGGCTGAAAGAACCACCCTCCAACAGCGAGAACCTTGCAATTGTTATGACGAATGTGCAATGCGGTAAGGCGAGAACCACATTTTGAAAACCACCCGCCCTCCATCCGTGAAAATCTTGCAGAATTGCCACATGCTGAAAACGAGCTGCATTTAATTCCATACCTAGGCTCTGCCTAGAAGGGTTCTGACTCTCTTTGCTTAAAGGGGCCGGGCAGTGGAAATCGCCCCGGGCTGTTCCCCCGGCATCCGCCCCGCGGTTCCCCCAGTTACGCCCCCATAGCTTAGCGTTGCTGATCTCATCTTAGCTTAGCTTACTTTCATCTTAGTTTAGCTTAGCTTCATCTTAGCTCAGGTTTATCGTAGCTAAGCCTAGCCTAGCTTAGCTTACCATAGCATAGCTCAGCTAAGCTTAGCTTATCGCAGCGCAGCGTTAGCATAGCATAGCATGGTATGTCCTATCATTAGCATAGCGTCGCATAGCGCAGCATATCATAGCGCTGCATAGCATAGCATAGCATAGCATAACACAGCATAGCATAGCTTAGCTTGACATAGCACAGCGCAGCATAGCATAGCATAGCATAGCATAGCGCAGCAAACCATAGCATATCATAGCATGGCGCAGCATAGCATAGCGCAGCATAGCATAGCATAGCATAGCGCATCATAGCATAGCATAGCATAGCGCAGAGTACCATAGCATATAATAGCCTAGCGTAGCATAGCATAGCATAGCATAGCGCAGCATAT